ATTGCAGCACACCTGCATATTTCACCACAAAGTTAATAAAACAAAACCTCCAAGAGTCTGTCTTGCATCAGGCTGCACAGTACACAAAAGTACAACGTACAGACTCACCTGTCCCTGTGTCAGGAAATTTGCCATTAGTGCCCCCTTCACTGCATTCTCCAGTTCGCAGTCTTTGAAGATGATGAGAGGAGATTTCCCTCCAAGCTCCAGAGTCACCTGCTTCACACTCTTTGCAGACATTTCCATGACCTGAAAGTAAAGAGAGCAGCCATGGTCTGTGGGCTTGTATAACAAAGTCACCTTTAGCTTAAAATAAAACAGCAGATCTTTAAGGCTGGTTAGGGTGACCCTCCTCCACCCTGCAGGAGATCTCATGAGCAGAACATGAGATCATGAGTTGTCACCTCCAGGGCGGTGTACTCTGAGTCTGTCCAATTCATACAACATCCTGAAAGATGAACAGTGAAGCCAATGCAGACTTAAGGATGAGGACTGATTTAGATTTCTGCAGAAAATCTTTGTAGAGCCTGCAGCATTAATGCTTGTTTGAGGTACATTATGTGTTAACTACAGTGTGTTTGCGTCCTGGTGTTTTATATGCAGTACTTTTATCCTCCTGGGTCCCCACTGCCTCTCTGCAGTCAGTTTTCTTTTTAGGGGCAAACATATTTGTAACGGACATCGTTTCACTTCTTTGTACATTCCGTCATGTCAGTTCCTATAACTTCAGTTCTCGTTCCAGGAATTTGAGAAAATTGGATGCTACGCTTTTTTTCTTTCTTATACTGAGATCATGACTGTTATTCTCTCATTGACAAGTTCAAAAATTGTAACTTGAAATGCACATGAGGAATCAACAGTTGTTGAACAGGCCAATCACAATAGCGGTATAGCTAGTAAAGCAATATAGCAAGTGAGTATAGCAAGATAACTCCTGACACCAATTGTATGCATGCATGTGGAAACTTATCACAAGTGGGCCTGAAGTTTTATTGCACCTTCACAGAAGGTTCATTGTAGACTTGAAGATCTGCATCGGCGGCCACAATTCAGAGATCACCCTAGTGTTTGATTGGAGTGGTTCTCTTCATATTGAAATATGTTATTAAACTCACTTCAACTAATGCTCACCGAGGTGTTTGCAGGTTATTGTTAAAATTTCCATAACACTACATTTCTAGGGAGGTGCAAATCAGGTCGCACTGTAGGATTTTAGAGGGGTTTGTGGTTCCAATATAGTTACGGTGTAGATTTCCCCACAGGAGTATAAATACCCAATAAGTGAGTCCAAAAGGGAGCATCCTAAATTCCCATGTTTAAATGTCCAAGTCCACAGCACTAAATTCAGTTTACAGCCTGGTTGAAAAAAAAACAAAAAAAAAAACATAAATAAATGAAATAAAATATATAATACTAATAATAATAATAATAATATTAATAATAATAATAGTTCAGTGTATCTGGGCAGCCCAACTACAGTCCATGTGTGGGAAACAATGCTGTACTGGTCTGTACCTTTTTGCCTGTAGGAACACTCCCCGTGAAAGAGACTTTAGCAACTTTTGGATGATGGCAGAGCAAGCTGCCGGTCTCTGCTCCACCTTGGACCACACAGAAAAGCCCATCAGGTACCCCAGCCTCTTTGTAGATCTCAGCCAGGATGACAGCAGTCACCGGAGTCATTGGAGAGGGTTTATATACCATGGCATTACCTAAAAAACACAACCACAATTAAATCCTGCAAAGCTATCTTTGTGAATGGTCACATGAAACAAGACAAACAGACAGGAACAAGCTGTACAACAGGTGGATTGATAGGACTAGTGTTCATCAGTGATGTGACAGAGGCTCTGTGGCTCTGCTACATTATCTTTAGCAGGCTCTTCCCATTTTAAACTGCCAATCTTTTGCTTTTGTCTCTCTCACTCTTGTTTTTCTCCACTCTTTTCTTGCCTCTCACACTCGCAGCAAGTTGAAGCTGATGGCTCTTCTTGTTAATGGACCCTCACCAATTACTGCTCACTGAAGATGTCCTACTGTTTTTTTTTCTTTTTCTTTTTTTTAAAAAATATGATATAAACCTGTTCTCTGTTAAGACAAAGAGGGACATTTGCCGTTTTGTCTCTGCCCCCTCCCCCCCACATCTATGAAAAAGTATGTCTTCTCTAGTCTGTCTTGTTTCAGTCCCCTGCTCTCCTATATGTCGCAATCCTCTGTTGTGCAGATTACTGACAGCAGATGATACACATGCTGTTATAAAACTCACCACATGCCAGAGCAGGAGCAGATTTCAGTGATGCAATCTGGAAAGGGTAGTTCCATGCACCGATTCCCACACACACACCAAGTGGCTCCCGTCTAGTGTAAGCAAATGCTCCTCCAGGGAGCTGGATGTGCTGGCCTGCACCAAAATGACAGCACAATGTTAAAAACAATACCAAATGGAGGTTTTTGCACCTTTTGACAAACACAGAAGCATTGGTGCACCCACCCGCAAGTGTACCAGCCAGGCCGGCATAGTACTCAATGCTCTGCCAGGCAATGTCAATATCCACCAGAGCCTCAATGATGGATTTCCCATTGTTGATCACTTCCAGCTTTGCAATTTTTTCCCTCCTTTCCTATTTTTTTAACATGCATAAAGGGAAAAAAAAAGCATGGAAGTATTTTAATTGACACTCATCAGTAATTTTGTGGAACAAGATGTCTTGTTTTAAGATTATGCAATGACCGAGAGACAATAGAGACACACAAAAGGTTAAATTGGTTCAAATGTAGGCCAGCAGAGAAGGGAGGGGTGCATTTTAATGAATAACTAATGTCTTATTGCAGGCTTCCAACAGTCAAGTCCAATTTATATTGCACAAACACTGAACTAGACAGTTTCCTGGACTGCTGGTTGTTGTTACACAACAGCTTGGCCGTCTCACCCTGATAATGCGAGCAGCCTCCAACATCACCCGAGCCCTCTCCATGCCTGCCATCTTGCTCCACTTCTGGTAGGCGGCATAGGCACTCTGTATGGCTTCGTCCACCTCCTCAGCCCCACAGGGCACCATCTGACACAGGACCCGGCCTGCAGAGACCAGAAGAACACCAGGTTACAGAGCTCTACACCATGCATTTTTCTTTTTTTCTATTTTTTGTTTTTTTGTTTTTTTTTTGTATCAAATCTCTTTTCAATTTATAACAATTGACATTTTTAACCTGAATCAGTAAAAACACCCTCACTAACAGTAGTGATCTTCTTTGTGCAACATTAAAATGTAAAACAGACCCTTGCATTGTTTAATCTTCAGAAATGTTTATGCCTGCCTGTCATTACTGTGCATATCCCTAACCTTTATAACCTGAAAGCATGAAATCCAATTAACTTTATACTAATATCAAGTAACGGGGGAAAAAAACAGCCCTTTGTTTGTCTACTAGTCTGCACATAGTTAAGGCAAAATGTCTATGTTACAATACTTAACAGAAGTCTGAACAAAATCTGAGCGTTTCAAATATATTTCAGAAAAACCGCAGGCCTTTAAACCACCGTCACTTGTTTTCCCCAGAATACGTGTCCTTAGCAGGAGCACTAAGGCTAAAGCAGATTTTAAAGAGCAGTATATTCACCAGTTGCAGGCTCAAACACGGGCTCAGCGTTTTTCTCCTGCCTGGGTTTCACTCGTTTTCCACCCCAGAAGTTCAGAGGCTCCGTGACAACCACGGTCCCCGTCGAGGCTCCGGGCATCGAGTCGAGGGTTGACTGGGCCATTTCCAGATGCAAAGCGCCTGCAGGGAATTATGTAGCAAAGTTATAAAACAGATGCGCAACTTAGGACAAGTGATCGAAACTGGTCGCTCCCTTTGCTAACGTGAAGCTAGCACGGACATTAAGTTAGCTAAACTTGCACAAGAAAAGCAGCGCGCGCAGATTTTAAATATGATAGCAGACAAGTAAAAGTAGCTGAAGTTTTACCGCTTATGCTCCCGCAGAAGGACTGGAAATGAAGGCAGACGCTAATCACCTTCACGCCCGTTTAGCAGCCAGAAGACCACGCCTTCTTCTGTTACACACTCCGAGTAGAGGTCAAAAAAACAACCGTAAAAATTTATGCAGGTCTGTTTTTAAAACAAGATGATTTATTAGTTAATACTGGCAGTGTAACGGGTGCAAAGATTAAAATATCCAGCAGCAGAATTAAAGACATTATAAATGAGAGATGTGTTAATTAGAGCAGGATTAAAAAGCTCTATATAAAAGTACTGTTCAGACTATTTTTAAGTGTTTAAAATACTTTGAGAATTTCATTAATGTATTTATCTACTTGTTAGCAAATTTATGAAAGGAGCAAGAACTGATGTTTGATGTTTTTGCCGTTCCTTTAATTTCTGCCCAGATTGTGGCATCTTGCTTGTTTCATACAACCATGAAATGTATCCACAGCATGTGTGGAGTCTACCCGTGCAAAACTGAATGCACTGATAATTTAATAAGGTGAAGACCTGCTCTGTAATGTAATATCCCAGAGTTCACTTTTCGGGACCTCAGATTGTATGCAAAACATGACCGTGGCTTCTGATTGGTGCTTTAAACCTGCACGTTTTCTTAAAGCCAGCAGGAAGTGACTCCTGAATATGCATAAAGAAGCCAGTTACTGCATATAGAAGTCGATGGGGAGGGAAAACCATCATCCTACTCAATGTACAACTTCAGTAAACACTTTTCTTGATGATTTAATGGGCTTCAAATTACTTGACAATAACTAGTAAGATTTTAAATGGGAAGGATAGTTTTTGTGCTACATCCCACAATTTTTTGTTTCAACTTTTAATCACTGACAATTAAAAAAAAAAAGATCTGATTGATTTAGTTCAGCAGCATCTGCATACTCTTGTTTGTTTTCCCTTAAAAATATCTTGTTCACTCAAATGAGTTTCACTCCATAGCTTCCCTTTAAATTAGATGGTAGTACAAAGGGACAAAAAAACAACAACAACAAAAAAGACATGCCTGAAATCTAATCATAAAACTTTATTAATATGCATGACACAACAGTACACAATGACATACAATAATACTGAAACTGGATCAGATGTTACTGTGTCAATCGTTAATTTAAAATCTCCAAACACTCCATGAATTTTGCTAAATGCACAGCTGACATTTGTAACCTTTAATAATCAACAGAATGAACTATAATTTTCCTATAATTTCTAACCAAAACAGTTATAATGTTTAATGTTAAATAAACAACAAAATGAATAAGAAATCAAACAAAGTAGTGGTACTGTAGCTGCAACGGGTAAGACTTTTAACCTCAGCAGGAGCAGTTCTGTCTGTGCGCTGGTGGGGGCGCTATGACTGCAGGCAGCAGTGCAGGAACGTCTGGGCTGCTGATTAAGAAAACTTAGCTGCTTGTGGAGGAGGTCCTAAAAAGCCTCCAGCCTGTTTGGTTGCAGCTCTGGAGGGTGCAAGACCGAGCATCTTCTGAATGTTCTACAGGAAAAAACAAAACAAAGAAAACAGCAGAAACTCTAAAACAAATACCCAAACCAGCACAGAATATACATTTGATAACACTTAGTATGCACGATATTAACCCTGATATATTGCTGTATATTATTCTACACATACAGTTTCCTGCTAACACCAGTTAGATGTGTATTCAACAAACAATACAGAATTTGTCCTAAGGGTGGCAGTAGAGAACACAGCATGTTACTTAAATTAACTCAACTGCCTTGGTCTCCCTGTGGAAACCAGATAATATCCTCTGGAGGTGTTTATGCTGAATCTGAGTAACAGTATTTAGTCCTTGTACAGCTGCAGTGAAAGCTCTGTCCATATTGCCAGCAATAAGTCAGACTCGTTCCTGGTGAGTATGTCCACTGATATACAATAAAAGTATAGACGTTACCTGTCTGATGGACATGGTGCAGAGGATATAGAGGAAAATAAAGGAGCAGTCGGTGTAATCCTCGCCCAGCAGGTTGCGGTGTGACAGTCCCTGGATATACGACAGTGGCACAAATGGCAATTTGGCCACAACTCTTCCATCGAAACTGAACGTAACATAAAAAGCCAAAAAGGGAACTTGTTTAAAACAATGGACTGGACAAGTTACTTTCTTATATTTTGCCTGATGTTTTTTGTTTTTTTTTATGAAAAGAGAAAGCTTTTTAACAAAATGTGAAACAGTATTTTACCCTGCAGTAACTTACATGGAGTTGAACATGCCCATGAGAGCTGTGAAGCAGAAACCAATGGCGAACATGGATTTCATCCGTACCTACAAAACAAACACTCAGGATTTAAAACGCATACATTTAACCATAAACACTTAAATTAAAATATATAAGGTTTGACTGGAATGATCAGCGGGCAAAATTTTGACCCGCCTCTCAACTGATTTAAGAACAAAAAATATGCTACAGTTGTTGAAATGAAAACGAAATGGTCATTCTGAAGGGTTTGTGTGGGAACTTTTTTCAGATTCAGTTGACTTTAAATGGAATGACCTCGCTAAACTACGATAACTAGACAACCCCAGTATCAGACATTAAGCCTGGGCTGCATATTAACTGGAAACAAAACATCTCTCACCATAGACAGGTCTCTGTTGTTGTTCTTCAGCTTCTCCTCTTGCCTTTCTGCAACACAATCATTCACAAAACACTGTTATCCAGAGGAGAAGGGCTGATCATAAAAGCAGAACACCGGTTTGTTTACAGGGTTCTTACCAATCTTCTTCTTTTGTTGGCGTCCAGCAGATTCAGTTATGGTTTCCTTTTTCTTCTCAACTAGTATCAGAGAGGACAAAATTAATCTTTTAACAATCTGAAAAAAATAGCAAGTTAACAAGACAACACTTGAGTCACTTACGTTTTTTGCTTTGCTTTTCCACTTCAGCCTTTAGCCTCTTGTACTTTTCAGTCCGATACACTAAAACCCAGGTAATCCCTGAGGAGAAAATACGATTGTTTAAATAAAATTTAAAAAAAAATGAAAACTGCCACTGAAGTTTCCAACATTTCACACTGATCAATATGTGAAGTTTTTGCACATTTCTGAAACCTTTTCCTGAATCAGAAGAAATCTCTGCAGCCACAGTATCCAATAAGCTTTGGATCCTTTTCTGTCACACCAACCCTCTGCATTCCTCCTTCACTCTATCCATGGACCTCCTCTACGGTCCACACAGCTCAGTGACGATCAGTTCTCTTCTTAGACTAGCTTTACCAACTCCTTCCCATAGATTAATGGCATGTCTCATCAACTCTATCTCTCTGCAGTTATTACAGCTCTCCACATCACTCTTATTGTTTAAAACTGGTAGCAGTAAACGTCTTCTCTATTCCTCAGGCATCCTCTCACTTTCTAAGATTGTGTTAAACAATGTAGTTAAAAGGTCCACTGCCCTCTCTCCCCTCTAAACATCTCCATACTGCCACAGGTATGTCTTCTGGACTACCCATCTTTAAATTCTTTATTCTCTTCATCACTCGCTCTAATAGGCTGACAAAATACAACAAAAAGACTTCTACTTCTACTCTGGAATGTAAATCATACACAAATGTGGTTAAATAATGTCTTACTTCCGTATCTAAACTAAACATTTAGACAAAATTAAATTGTAACAAATATTTTTTTTATTTATCTTTTTCAAATTGTTAATGTAGATAGCGAGGAAGTCAATATTCTCCCCGAGGAAAGCGTCTCAAACGTAAGTTCAGGCTTTTATTGCGAAATTAACCGGAAGACAAAAACGTTAAGCTGTATTCAGTCATTAACAAAGTACAGGTCAACAAAAGCAACAAAATTGCGAATTATTGAATATTAATAACATTGAAGACGTTTCCCTACCATATAATCCGGAGTAATGTAAAATTCTGAGCTATAACAGTGTTTTCTGGAGCACGGTAAAACGCCTGCCTCGACCTGTCAGACAGATTTGGCTCACCTTCGGCTAACAACGCTGTACAAATTGAGATGAAGACGATCAAAATGGTGTCTGCGAACATGGTACTCATGGTGTCAAAGTCCCGTTTTCCAGGCCGTAGAGAGGAAAAGTATTTACTTTATATCAGAAGATAAACCCTGACCACCTTCCGCTGAGCAGAGTTTCAGCTTCATACAGCCCTGTCAGCGTTACTGCAGAGGTCAGACCACGAAAAAGCACTTCCGGTTCATCCGACCGAGCCCCAAGAAAAAGAAAAAGAAAAAGAAAAAGAAAGAAAGGAAAAAATGCATATACATACACAAAAATATGTAACAATGCAGAGAGATTTTTCTTAACCATTTTAAAAATAGTCGACACTCTTGGACATTCCCATACCACGTGGTCAAAATTGTACTTAAAGGACAGTCTTGGAGTTTTTTCTATAAAGATGCCCTTCCATGTTGCCATATTTTTTCATAACTGTCCAAATTTCTTCATACTTACCTAAAATATTAAATGTAACATTCCACCTTCCTCCATCTTGTAGCCAACTTGTTCAATTTTTTGCATCTGAATCGTGTTTGCTAATATCACACTACCCAAAACTGTTCATCCATCCATTTTCTTCACCCTGGTAAGCTTGCCAATCAATCACAGGACAAACACAAAAAGAGAAACAATCACTCACATTCTCACCTACAGTCAGTTTCGAATCACTAATTAATCTAGCCAACGTGCATGGTTTTAAAGCAGGAATTTCAACTCATTGTTATAACGGGTCACAAGCTCACTTTGATCTTAAGAGGGCCAGACCAGTGAAACTCCCCTTTCTGTCAGTGAAAATAAGTTTAAATAAACATTTAATATCTTAATACTAAACAAGAACTATCTTAATATGAGAAAAAGAAGAGTAATTGCAACAGTGCAACTTAGTTTTTCCGCATGCTAAAGAAATGCTGCTCTCATTAATGGAAGAAAGACTATTTTGGCTTAACTTGCTAGAAATAAAAGTATGAAATTACAGAAAAACAATCCTGGTAGCTCATCAGATAAAAAAGAAGGTCTCTGTTAATTCACAGAAAATGCCCCTTTTTTGCAGATCCAGTGTAAAAACATATGTTTCTATAGTCAATGGTGAAAGTTGAACCTTTCTGTTATTTAATTCTTTATCTATTACCAAGGGGCAGTTCCTTATCAGTAGGAAAAGCTGCAAAACTTATTAGCATTCATTCAAATGTCCAAAAATTAATTACTTCCTTCACATTTTCTAAAGACATCCATCCAGTGGGCCAGATTTGAGCCTTTGCTAGGCCAATTCTGGCCCCAGGGCCTTATGTCTAACATCCCTATTTTAAAGTGTGGAAGGATGCTTCTTCATGGGAAGAAGATGGATCGTTTGAAGGAAAACACAGGAACTTCTGATGTGAGACGAGAGAACTAACCACCATACACCACTCTACACTTTAAACAGTTTACGTTTCATCAAAATGATTGTGGATTTTTTTTTGTGCTGATTAATCCACGTGTTCAAGGCTTAGAGTACTAGTCAGCTTACTGACATCTGTTTAACTCAAAGAAAAACAGTCCGTGTTTTTAATAATGTTAAATTGCTGCACAAGTAAAATTTATAAAAGAAAAGAGAAAAAAAGGAACCCGCTACTACCTGTCAGCGATTTCATCATCAGCATCCTCATCTTCGATTTGTTGCCCTTGAACGTCATCATCACCACCAACTTCACCGTCGCCTACACCATCATCAAATGGGAGGAGCGCGCACTCCCCCGGCGTAGAGGTACGGTGCGCGCTGCAGATGAAACATGGCAGGAGACAGCGAGACAAAGCCAGGTGACCAAGCCGAAAATGACTCAAATATTCGGCAGCCATTCCTCATCGGTGTGGCCGGAGGGACAGCCAGCGGGAAGGTTGGCTTTTATATTATAAACCCTTTCTTCTTCTTTTTTTCCTTTGGATTATTTCTTGGAGGCGTCTGATTTTTTTTTTAAATATCTGTTGTGTTAGATTATGCGTTTGGGATGAAGAGGGCAGGACTAAGAAATTAAACGTATTCTTCCTCGGAAAAAAGAAGTTTAGTTTAAAATCATTACTTAGTCACTCGGCCTGGTTGTTGTGTTGATCAGTAGTGAAAGTTACGCAGGCCGCAGTACTGCATGTCAAATCAGAAAACGTGCACTGTCAACACTACTGTCATTTCCCCCCCCATTGAAACCAGATTGATGTTCAGATTTCAAACTTCCGTGAAGGACTCCCGTATTTTGTTTTTCATGCTTTTTTTTTTTATTTTTTAAATCAGAGGGGATGTAAAGAGTGGCGAAGATCATGGAAAAGAGGAAAAGGAGGAGTGAGGTTTGTCATAATTAGCATCAGCTGCGCTGGCTGCGCTGGCTGCGAGGAGTGTAAAATGCATTTGCAGACAAAGAAAGCTGAAAAAACTGACTGTTAACGCACTGTGCTGTCTGCAGCAGATGGATGCATGATTCTCACTATTGGAGGCTGCAGCTTTGATGTTATTCTTTTTATTGCGCTTTCTAAATGATTTTCTGATGTCACACAATGTATCCGCTGTTTCAAAGTCGCTTGATGTTAACTTTATCTCATTTCACTGACCTGCTTGACACTGACAATATAGACGCCTTTGGTGCCACGACAGACTAAATATGTGCTTTGGCATTCTGTATTGTGCAGCATGTTATAGGTTCCCAGTAGTTTCCAGTATTCTGTCTTGGATGATCAGAATATGCTGCACTATGGTCACATTTTGTTGCAAAGTGGATAATCACAATAAACACAGTCTCTAGGGTGAACCAGGGCTCCAGTTTATGACAGGATTGCACAGCATTTTTATACTAAATCTGAGAAAATGTCCCATATTTTGATTGGCTCAAGTTTACATAAATCAATACATCTAACAAGAAACGAGGCGCAGATCCATGAAATAACCTGAAATGATACGTAAAAGTTTTAACAGTTATTCAGGATATAAAAAGTCATTCACCGAAGCACAAAAACTATCATATAAGAACATAAAACAAGCTTCTGAAGTTGGGAAAATTGTATTCAAATAAAATAAAGTACATTTGTCCTTTTTATTTAATCTTCAACATGTATTTGAAGATTGGTGCTATGAGGCCCTGTTTTGGAGCACTTCTCTGTATTAGCAACATGTTTTGCATTTTCATCATACAAGCATAGTTTTTGACCTACATTTAATTAGTTGGGATTTGTTTGGCTAACTAATTTAGCCTTGTATTTCCATGAATCCAAGACTGGCATATCTCTTGACATTATTCATATGGGTGACGGTATGCTGACTTCTTAGGTGAAGGTGGTTGTGGTTCAACAGTCAGTTGTTTGTGGCTTCAACTTCCTGGTGTTATGCCTCTATTTTCCCACAGGAGTAACTGCTCACAGAACCACCTGTTCTCCCAGACATGTTATCTGAACAGGGAGTAAACTGCAGTTATTTGTTATGTGTCTGAAATGGCGTCAATGATTTCCAGTAATGGACTATGCTGTGTTTTTACATGATTAGGACGTCAAGTGTAAGTAAATGTTGGTTTCAGTGCAAAAATATCAGGCCGTGTTAAATCGTGTAACGAGGATCACTTGTTTCTGATTCTTTGTTTGTGTTCAGTCGTCGGTGTGCAGTAAGATCATGGAGCTGCTGGGCCAGAACGAGATCGACCACCACCAGCGGCAAGTGGCCATCCTCAGCCAGGACTGCTTCTACAGGGCCCTGACCCCGGAACAGAAGGCTAAGGCGCTCAAGGGCCAGTTCAACTTTGACCACCCAGGTACATCGCCTCTGCATTTGTGAGTCATGCTGAGTCACTGGGCCAGAGGGGGCTCGAGCATTGAAACGTAAGCATTCATGTTCATTCATGCCAAATGTGACTTTTGGTTTTAACTACCTTGTGCTCTTTCCTTCTCTATAGATGCATTTGACAATGACCTCATAATCGCGACCCTGTGGGACATCAAGGAGGGGAAAACGGTCCACATTCCTGTTTATGACTTTGTTTCCCATTCCAGGTGACTAACTGTTCATACAGGCACAACATTAAAAGGGGTTTCAGCAGGTTTCAGCTTACACAAAGAGATCTCTGATGCAGCATCAATGGAAGCATCATAATACATAAGACATGCATTATATCTACTGTGGTGGGCAAATTGATTTTCATATCATAGTGAAATGAATGGAAGCCCATAACTGCCTGGAAGGTGGGAAAATCTGAGTGCGCTTTGTAGTAAAAGTGTTCAAATGTGAAACAGTACATGAAAAGTTAATTATTTATTTATAGTTTTTTTTAAATTGTTTTAAATTTGAGATTTCATTTTTGTTAAAGTTAATTAAAATAAAGAAAAAAAAAATTCATTTGCAACAAGACATAATTTCTTGGTTCAGTACATTCTTGGGGTGCTGCAGCTTTAATAGAATTCAAGACCTTTTTTCAGAATAACTCGCAAGCTTTTTAATCTCTCCAATCGCCATTCTTATCATTTTTCACTGCAGTGGATGCTGTTTAACCTTCTTTCTGTTTTAATATATGTCAGGAAAGAAGAGACCATGACACTGTACCCTGCTGACGTGGTGCTGTTTGAGGGCATCTTGATGTTCTACTCTCAGGAGATTCGAGACTTTTTCCACATGAAGCTGTTCGTGGATACGGATGCAGACACTCGTCTGTCACGGAGAGGTGACGCATGGCGAGACAAATCTGTTATGTTTATAAGCACGGGGCGGGGGGATGAACGTAACGGTTCATTGAATTAGTTGTTTTTAAAATGAGGTCCCGTGGTGCAGGGGGGCTGCAAAGAAGGGCTCTTGAAAATTAAAGCTAGTTTGGCATCTTAGGAAACAAGCTTTTCTGTTTTCCTGTTAAAATTGCTACCATACAGCAGGTTCTTGGCTTAACCTCCAAACTAGAAGCTGGGAAAACACAGTGGGTCTGCTTATAGGTAGCTAAACAACCTACCAATAGATCAACTCAGTAATTAACTCATTATCTTTTCTTTTTTTTCACTTTTTTAATAGAAAAAAGGAAGAAATTATACAAAAGTGTTAAAATACTTTATGCAGTTTAAACGTTTTCTCCCTTGTCTCGTTTTCCTTCAGTGCTCCGTGACATCAGTGAACGTGGTCGGGATTTGGAAAGCGTTCTAGCCCAATACATCACCTTTGTCAAGCCTGCTTTTGAAGAGTTTTGTCTGCCGGTGAGTCCATATTCTGTTAGCACATTTGCAGATTGTCCCTGAACATGGAGTCAAAGATAAAATGTTTGCTCTTTTTTCTTTTTTCTTTTTTTTGACTTTGTTTAGACAAAGAAATATGCTGATGTGATAATACCGAGAGGAGTTGACAACATTGGTAAGTAGTTTTTTGGTTGTTCTGGGGGCGGGTCTGCCTGGGAAGTGCATCATAAAGACTACATTACAGATTATTTAGAAAAACAAATCTAGTGGAAGCAAATTTTGGAGACTCAACAGTGTTTATCAGCAAGGACGCAGCTGTGTTTATCTCCTTGCTGGGAATTGTGGTCTTCATACTCAGGAAGCAAGGTGAGGACAAAACAGCTTTGTCTAGTTTTAGGAAAGCTGTAAAAGAAAACTGCACTGCTCTCTGAAGATTTTGTCGTGACACACCTGCTCCGACCATTTCCCCTTGATTGCTTCTTGGTCAGGTTTTATATGTATATGTGCCGCTGTGGCTTTTTAATTGTAAAAATGTTTCTTGCCATAAATCTGCTACAACATTTGTTGATGTGGCAAAGACATGCATATAAAAACATTACAGGCTTTGGTATAATTGTGATTTTTAGATCATGAGACTTCTTTCCAGATGATCAGTAGTCTAATTTTCTACACATAATATTTGAAATATTTGTTTAGGTCTGACTTGGAACAGGAGCATTGACATACAAAGAATGGAACAACAGGCTTACTGTGGTGACTTTATTCCAGGCAGCGTTTTTCCGTCTATTGTCCAATTTTTGGTGGCCCTGTGCTTGGTGTATCCTCAGTTTCCTGCTCACACGCGTGGCACTCAGTGCCATCAGTATTTTTGCCTTTCTCTGTAAACCGTAGAGATGGCTGCTTAGGAAAATCCCAGTAGATCAGCAATTTCTGAAATACTCGGACCAGCCTGTCTGGGACGAACAACCACTCCACACTCCGTCACATAAATCACCTTCCTTCCCCATTCTGACCCCTGATTATATTTCAGCATGTTGCTTCGTCTCTATGTCTAAATGTGTTGTTGCTGTTGTGTAGATATTTGTGTTAACGAGCAACTGGACAGGTGTGCTTAATAAAGTGGCCAGTGAGTGTAATTAACCCAAACATACCTTAAGTTTTAAAATGTATTCTTACAAGTGTCACAAAAAAATAATGTGTTTTTGTAAGAAGTAACAGACCAAGATTTCTATATAATATGGGCTGTACAATTCATTTAATATATATATTTTAAAATATACAATTTATAATATCTGCCATAGAAGCGAAATAGTGTAGCTATGGTAAACAAAGAGACAATTACATATATTTTTTCATTATTTTGTGCCGTTTTATTCTGTAAAATAGCTTAGACCTTTGATGATTAAAGATGAGCTGTAAGTTTTGGGGGTATTAACTCTTTTTGGATGATGAGTTTGTATCTCTCAGTAAAACAGAGTTACAAACTGAGACCATCTGTAACCATGTAACATCTGTCTTTCAACGCAGTTGCAATAAATCTCATCGTTCAGCACATCCAGGACATTCTGAACGGCGGTTTGACCAAACGGCTGAACGGGTGGTTCAGCGGTTATGGGACGGAGAAGAAGCAGCCGAACATAGAGTCGAGCAGTCGGCCCCACTGAAGCTCATCACTCCTTCAGGGAAGAGGAGAATGGTTTGCCTGAGTGTGCTGCTCTTCGTCATGGCTACTGCAACAAGGCAGCATAACTTCCGGGAATTCAAAAAGCCTCCTTTTGGTGCGATTCTGCTTAGACTTATTCAAATGAAAGGAGGCTTTGTGGAGCTGGTTCGCAGCAGAGGTATTCAGTTAAAATTTTCTCTTTAACTTGTGTACTGGATGACACTGATCGAGGGAGGAGTGAAAAAAGGCACTCACTTTTAATTTCATTTCAAACTGCTGCTTGCCTTTAATCCAGCACGGAGCTGGAGAAACTGTCTGCAAAAAGATTCACACACTCGACAGCCTTTAACGATCCAATAAATGAAGTGAAGTGACATGCTGCTGATTCCCCGTATCAGTGCAAACTAACATTTTTCTTTTTCAAGATCTGTTTAAAAATGATTAAACAAAAAGCTCAGCTGAAACAACCAATTTATGCCTCAAACACCCGATGTACTACATCACCGCCAAAGATGGTCTTTGTGGACTAAATATGGAGTTTAATTTTGCATTTACCCATTTAATATTACGAAATCAGGAAAATTTATCATTTTAAGAAATTACCACAAAGTATAATTTTTCCTTGTAACTGTCAGATGCATGTTAAGATGTTTTCATTAAAAGAAGATGGACTGAACTCTAAAAGGAGATCGATTTAATATGATCTGCGTGTTCTGTTAAGGTTGTTTAATGCAGTTTCTTTTCTGTATGTTTGACTGCTCAGGTACTGTTATTTTCACCTTTAAAAGCTTCTTTAATGAAGACCGTTCTGTGTTGTGTTATTCTTGATGTCACAAATTGAGAGAGAAGTGCCACACGCTGCTTAGTGCTGTAGAGGCAGCAAAGATATGGAGTGGCATTTTATGTCTGCGTTGTGATAAAATGCCCCAAAGAGCCCTTAAAAGTTTTTTTGCAAGTAAAATGTGAACCTTAAATGGATTGTTTTCCTCACAGCTGAGTCCTGTAGGTTGACTCCATACTGAATGGTGTGCAGCCAGCATTAACAGTGGGTGTGCTCTGGGGCACAAGCATGTGCTCCAAATGGAAGAGGTGTCACAATAAAATGATGTTCGCTTGTGTCAGATCAACCCAGCATTAAAGTGTTGTTAATCATGAGAGAAATAATAATGCTAAAGGGAACTCCTACACCAGCAGCACCTGCCGGCACTGTGCGGATGCCATTCTGACTCAGCACTGTTTTGAAGCTCGATATTGAAATTGCCTTGTGTAAGATTGTCTCCCAAAGGAGAAAATGCCAAACATTACAATATAAACGCATGACACAGGCACACTTTAGCAAGTACAGACCTGCAGTGACATCAAAGCCTTGTTACTGCTTTGTCTACATTAGCCATTCATAATCTGCTTAACAGACAACTGGAAGCATTGCACATTAAATCAGACATGTGGTTGTGGTAGGCTTGAATTGAGTGAGGCATGCTGTGTGTACGTCAGCAGATATTCATGTAGATTGCGTTTGTTTAACAATTTCCGATGCTGTAATTGGTGAAAAATGTACTGAGACTTCTGCAGGTAGACAATAAAATAAAACAATAAAACTCAGTTTGAGTTCTCACAAGATTCAGCTTAAAAACAAACGAAACATCTGAATTTAAATCACAAATGTATTTTACTTGCAAATAAAAACCCTGTCTTAACTTTATAAACACAGCACTTTAAAGGCTGATAGACACATTTAAGCTAAAGCTCAAATCACAATACTTTTTCCTACAACCAAGAGCATCAATATCATGTCATACATCATAGTTTCAATACTTAAAATTTCTGTTTTCTGATTCACTGGACCAAAATTGAAAAGGATTATTTTGGTAAACTTTAAAGGGTTAACTGCTTAAAACAACTCATAATTTTTACCTGCATTTTGACACCAGGCTCATCCTGTAACGGCGATAACTTCCATGTGAAAACGGTTAAAAACAGTGAGTTAACAGAAAACAGCTTTCTTTTTCTGTTAGTGTAAACCATCGATGCATTTTTCTTAACTTCATATCCAATTTAGCATCATGAGAAGGCAGAAGTTCATCAGGGCTGTAATAGGGCAGAGCGTGGGGTACATGGAGAGGTGTCCGGTGTATCACAGGACTCAAAGTTGTTGTTTTTTGTTGTTTTTTTTTTACATTTTCCAAATCACAATATCTGCTTTCAAAGCTGCCATGTATTCAAACAATTGAGAAAGCTTTCCTGTCAGGGTTTAAATGTGTATTTGTAATAACGTATCTAAAATTAATTTTACTATTACCTAATAGTTAAACATGAAAATTCATTTTCTTTTTGATCTCAGTCCAGGCTAATGTAGCCCTGCAACATATGCAATGTGTCACATATTCCCAGCTGTGCCCCAAATCAACAGTATGCACTAAGCAGGGTTTCTGGATTTTTTTTTCACTGGAAAAGCAAAAAATAAAAGCAAAGAACAAAAGACAAACAAAACTGGAGCAGGAACATTCCGTGAACTGGCTGCATGGGACTGGCCACAGTTATTTACTTAAAGTCATACAACGAGTTCAAGTAATCACTTTACTTCATTCACATGTGATGGAAAAACAGTGTGAATTTTTAAAGTAGCACTCTTGTGATTAAATAAAGAAGCACTTTGGTATGAAAGACGTTTCTACAGAACTGCACGTTCTTTTGAGTTCAGTATGTAAGACAGTCTGAAGAGTTCCTGCTAAAGGAGAGTGGCCATTCAGTCCTGGGAATCTCAGCATGTTAATGTCACTCCCTCATAGAAGTGTTCTGACCAAACAGGCTTCGGTAGAGTTCGCTGCGGGCCTCGTCGCTCATCGAGCTGTGGTCAATCGGCGCCATGAAATTGACCAGTTTGCTGTGGATGTGGAACCGGACTTTGCGCCCCTTGCTGGCTTTAGTGTCTACTTTCTTCTTGATTTTGCTGCGCAGCTTCTGGATGGCCAGCCACTGCCGGCCCATAGCCACCTGATCGTTGGGGTCCGCTGCGCTCGTCTTACGCTCGATCAGCTCCCTCAGCAGCTGGTGGTAGAAATCGTCGTCATCAAATATGTCCTCATTGAGATCTTTCAGATGCGTGTTGGATTTCAGCTGTTGCTCCGACACCTCGCCTCCCTCCATGGGGATGTTCTCAGATGTGAGAGCAGGGGCTTCCACCTTCCCCAGGACCCGGTACTCTGAGCGCTGGGTCTGGGTCCGCTTCAACAGCCTGTCCTTGTCCATCAGCACCTGCTCCACCTGGGTGAGAATGTTCCTCTCAAACGCCCCAAACCCTTTGGTGCTCTTGCCCATCGTCAGCCTTGTTTTGTCGTGCCACTTCTGCAGCGTGGCATTGCAGTAAGGCTGGAAAGCTGCAAACCGTTTGGCCATGAAGTCCGGGTACTCTGCCATCTCCAGTTTTCGTTTGGGCGCTCTGGCCTGCTGCGCTGATCCCTCCTTTTCATCGTCGCTGGTTATCTCCTCGTCTTCCCCCATGTCGATGGATCTCGTGTCAGCGTTCTGGTGCAGAAGTTGGTCATGCAACTCCAGCAGGGACCTCTGAAGAGCCTTCAGAGCCTTGTGAGTGTTCTTCAACGCCGCTGTGAACTCCCCCCCACCTCTCCTCTTGAACTCTGGGAAAGTCTGTGGCTGAGGAAGCTGGTTGGCAGTCACCAAAGCTTTCTGGATTTTTATCCGGCCCTCGAGCAGCTGGTCCCACAGGGCCAGTTGGTTCTTCACCGCCTTTCCTTTCTCCACCTCCTCATCTACTTTGTCCTGGGAAAACGTGCGCACCACTCCATCATCATCATCCTCTTGCTCGCTTTCCATCTCATCATCATCATCCTCTTGCTCGCTTTCCATCTCATCATCATCATCATCATCAGAGCCTTCCTCTTCTTCACTGCCTTCAGACTCCTCATGGCTTTCATCATCATCCTCGCTCATTCCCAGGTCATCCATACCTTCTGTCAGTTTATGGAAGTCTACTTTCTGAGGAAAGGTGATGTCAGTTGCTTTCTTCTTTGAAGCTAGATTAACATCGAGTTCTGAATCACTGCCCATCAACAACTCTTCCTCATCATCGTCTTCCTCCTCTGAAGCATTTTCATCGTCATCTGCCTCTTCATCCCCCACTGAATCATCTTCGTCACCTTCTTCCTCTTCCTCCTCCTCAACATCATGTTCATCCTCCTCAGTCTCTCTAAGCAGCTGCTTTCGGGACACTGGCTTTCCCACATACCGTCTATCTGTGTCCGAAAGCAGGGAGGTGTTGCGCTTCCGCAGAGCGCTGAGGCCGGCCGCATCTTCATCCTCATTGTCGTCTTCATTGAACCGGTCCACCACTCTGGCTTTGGTAGCCTCGTCATCATCATCCTCCGGATCCACGAATTTTGGCAAAGGATTCAACAGATCCTCAAGCTCCTGTGAAAACGCGCCTGCCATGGCTCAAAGTTTACAACCACCACACGTGCAGACTCTTTCTGTGCGCCAGAGCGGGTTGATGACGTTAGAAAAATGCGACACGTATAAAGACGCTGCAAAGTTCAGCCCTGCGTGAGTTCTTTCAGGAAGAACCTGATGATAAATGAATGCAGAAACACCAACCAAGAATTGATGGCTTAAGTAAAATCAAGCAAACAAATGAACAAAACTGGAAATAATTAACAATTAATTACTGATATAGTTATTCAACTGTTTCTTTTTCTTTTGTAATGTAACAAAGCCATTTAGAAGATTTACAGAGGACCCTACCGTAGGACCAGAAGAGTCTAATAAACAATGTTGTGCTTCAGTAATGAATTGTTCCATACTGTACATCTGTAGAAGTTGTTGAGGATTATGGTTTGGCGTCTTAAAAAGCACATTCTTGGGTCTTGTCATAGATTTATACATACCCCAAGAGGAAGCCAGAAATTGTATTTATTAACGGAGTTTTATTCCAAAAATAGGTGATTAAATGAATAAAAAATAATATTTATTTTATACTTCTGAACTAACAAACAATCAAAGATGCATCAAACTAAAAATAAATCGATGTGCAAATAAGGAATATTTTAAAGGCATAAAAGAAAAAAAGTTGCTAGTTAACTTAAAAATCTGACACAAACTTTAAAAAAAAGAAACCCTAAGTCTAAATTCTTAAAGTAAAAAAATGACTGAATTATCGCGGGAATATGACCTTTGAGACAAAACTTTGGTCAAAAAAGCCCCTCAGCTATAATCCTCTGCGCATGCGTATACGGTTGGCGAGGCTCTGGGCTGCTCTTGCTAGCTCAGTTTTGTTCATCGGACTTGCGCAGAAAACGCTTTCTGTAGAATAAAGATGTCAACAAGCGACTTTTATTTGAGATATTATGTCGGACACAAGGGGAAGTTTGGACACGAGTTTCTAGAATTTGAGTTCAGGCCTGACGGTAAGTGTAATTTGAGCGGCAATACAGACGCGTTAGCTGTCCGTGGTTCGAAGCTAACCGGTTTAGCTAGGCCGCAGCGGAGTCAAAGAGCCAAATTCTCCGTTTGGATTTAGCTGCAGGAGTAATGCTGATTACTAACTTTGTTTTTATATAAATAAGATAATTATTACCATAGCGTGTGGTTTAGAATATAAGCAGTAATGTTTTGAGTTTATCCTGTGAGTGCGTACGCGCCATGCGGCCTGTAGCGATTGATAACAAACTCGGGCGTTTTGTTCGAAACGATACACAGTTTCCCACGTTAAAGTTAATCTTTTTTCCCCCGCAGGTAAACTGAGATATGCAAACAACAGTAACTACAAGAATGACGTAATGATCAGGAAAGAGGTAACGTATGATTGATTTTAAATGTATGTGTAAGGGGTGGTGAGATATCTGTAAAGTAAGAGCTGGTTGTTTGGTTATTTTTCGAGAAGTAGTTTCGGTCATCATGCTCAAACAACATGTATGTGGTTATAAATTAATGCTGTTTCTCGAAATGTACAAATTTAAATCTGACTTGTGCGTTTTCCGGTGTGCCAACCAGGCATATGTTCACAAAAGTGTGATGGAGGAGCTGAAGAGGATCATTGACGACAGTGAAATCACCAAGGAAGATGATGCTCTGTGGCCGCCTCCTGATAGAGTTGGCAGACAGGTTTGTGACCTCTTTATTACCCCGTGTCCTCCCAGTTATTACAGTTTGAGCTATTTTCATTCATGCCATGCAGATTTAAAGTTTTCGAGGTACATTGCAATAGGCAACTGTCCAAGGCGGTCTTTAACTATTCCACATCGCAAGTACAGTCTGTGTGCTGTTGTGAAAATATTCTGGTACCTTCGCTGAGAGTGGTGATTCTCAATCCTGCCTTTTGCATGCTGTATCCAGGCAGCTCCTTCACCCAAACCACACTAAGTTTATCCAGTAGTGAAAACTGCTGAGAAGTGGACTGTTTCTGTTCTTTTATTCCATTTTCTTCCTGGTTTGGGTTGGGTACGCTTAGACCTCATGGTTATACTGAGGCTTATCGTTTCCATCTGTGGAAGATTTTAAAAAAGAAAAATCTGACTTGATGACCCTACAGCATCAGTTGGATTTTGCTGATACTGTAATTGCACTCTGTTTAATATCTCCATGCAAAGTTATACTTTCACAATCTGAATATTTTATGATTTACATAAAATATTGGTGTGAATAAATTTGGCAGTTTTTTTTTAACTTCAATATCCTGGAATATGTTATAGTTCTAATAGCAAAACTGATAAACATTTAGTCAGTCATTCATACTCTAGATCTTTGTTCTGTTTCCTATTACATACCTGGAGTGATTGCTCAAGGGTCATATCATCCATTGGGATAAATGGCTGCTTAAAACAAGTTATTGTTTGAAAGTTCAGGCTTATCTTCTGAGTGTGATTTCCTTCTATGAAAGAATCATTTTCTAATATAGTTATACGCTTAGTTTTAGTTTTTCTAACCCTTTGCAAATTGAGCATGCAGATAATAAGACGGAAGGTGGAAGAAATGTCCCAGTTTGATAAGGTCTTTGGCTACTTTACTTAAAAGTGAGCAGTCAACTGCAGTTCATCCTTTAATTCAAACCTGTGCGGACAGAAGGTCAACCAAATGGATTTTTCTGTGACCAATAAGATCATAGTGGAGAAAGAATAAAGTTGAGAGCACTCTGAAAATGACCTAAACTTTTCTACTTATGAAAGAAAGTGACCTAAATTTTCACCTTCATCAACTCTGCACTGATGATTTTCTCCCAAGATAATTTTCTGAGGCCTGTTTTTGTCTCATCTTTTACAGGAACTCGAAATTGTCATCGGGGACGAGCACATTTCATTCACAACTTCCAAAATTGGCTCCTTGATTGACGTCAATCAGTCAAAGTAAGTAATATATTCAGGAGTTGGGAAGTGGAAAGTAAATTGTATTTGTTACTGATGTAAGCACACATGTGTTTTTAGGGACCCTGAGGGCCTTCGTGTGTTCTACTACCTGGTGCAAGATCTGAAATGTCTTGTTTTCAGTCTGATCGGCCTACACTTCAAGATCAAGCCCATCTAAAATCTGGATTTTGCTCATTTTAATTACTTTAGCTGATGTTTCTGTTGTACTACCGCATTTGTACATTTGCTTTTGGTGGAACTATTTTTTATTTTAAATAAAGAGTGATTTGGTTAAAGAATATGTGTTGTCTTAAATGATCAGCTGTCTGTAAAGAATCACAAGGGCAAATAAAAGAGCAGAGGTAATTAACTTTTAATTTCAAAATACATTCAAGCACAACAAATGGCTGTAATCTAACACTAATGACAGTTCAGTGTATTACAGTGGTGATTTGTAAATGCTCTGGTTGAGCTTCACATCATTAAAAAAAAAGGCACATCCTCTGCATCCTGACTGGCAACTATTGCAGAGAAGTTTAACTGCATGAATGACCAACTAGAGTCAGAGCTCCAAGTTCAACCCACTCCCTACACCCTTCTGAAGGGCCTTTTACAGAGCAACGATTCCCTCATTTCTCTGACATAAGCAGTAACTCAATTGGCCTCTGTGTCACTTCATAACACTGTAAGATAGCTATATTATATATGCATTACGTGTATCATGGCCATTAATTAGTGGAAATTTGCTTCGTATTTCACTTCCATTTAAGAAAAAAGTTTAATGTGGAGATCCTCCTTGAGAAACCACAAGTTGTGTAGGGGCAGGATTATATTTAAACTGTTGCCTCACAGCAAGAAGGAGTTTGGAGAACATGCGAAGGCCCCTCTGCATGTTCTTCACGTGTTTGCGTAGGTTCTCTCCAGGTACTCTGGCTTCCTCCCACAGTCCAAAGATATGCAGTTAGTGGGGTTATGTTAATTGATAATTCCAAATTGCCCATGTGAGTGCAAACGGTTGTCTGTTCTTATGTGCTAGCCCTGTGAAAAACTGGTGACCTGTCCAGTATGTACCCTGCCTCTTGCCCCATGGTAGCTGGTATAGGCTCCCTCCCCCTGATGAGGATGGATGGATGGATGAACAACCTTAAATCGCAGCTAACAGTAACATTAGGCCACAGCACACTAACATCAGCATGTATGTAAGAGTTGGTCACAAATGTCTGAATGGGAATTTGGAATAACTGTGGGCTGAGGAAGTCAAACACGAGCAAATTTTCAATGAAGGTAAATAAAATATGTTGTATATTATTATTATTGTTTTCAGGGCTTGAAAGTGAATATGAAAAGATAAGAATTATATTTTGCTACACTTGATTTTTCTTTGATTCTCTCATTTTGTAGTGTTATAGATGAAGTTGCTGATATTTTTTCACTACAGTTGGATATTTTTCACCAAAATGTTAGAATATCAAGTTTTACCAAAATAACTGGTTATGATTTCTGCCGCACACCAGCAGTCCTATTCATCACCGAACAATTGTTATGATACGTATATATAACTAAGGGATGACAGAGGAAACTTTGTTTTCAAAGAGCTGCCCTTCAGTTTTCCCCATCCTTTCTATTCTCCCTGAATTTCCTTCCTACTCTTACCTTTATCAATATGTAAAAGTACACTTGTTCACTCTTAGCTCAGTGGCTTTCCATCCAGCACTGTGAAAATGTCCTCTAAAGACTTGTGGACACACTGCAGGAACTCATGGACGTTGCGAGCCGGGTAACTAGATACGTTGCAACCGATCCAATTGTCGTGGACGCCGTAGCCGACACCAAAACCATCAGGTACCACAGGGGCAAAGCCGCCGAGACTGACAGCTGGACTGGTGAGGGTGCTAGTAGAGAGGATGTTATGGTTGATGGCGGCGTAAGCTGGGTCAGTGTACAGACTGGGCAGAGCTTGGCCCTTTGAGGCGGCCAGGTATCGCATCGCGAACAGGTGACGGTCGAAACCCTGACCTGGAGAGAGATGCAAAAAGAGCAGTTAGTGAAGGAACTGTTCTCAGGTCAGCATTGTGTGTAATAAAAAGTGCTAATCAGTCATTATCTTAACACTTCAGTTTTTTATATCGAACAATGCATTCAAGAAAATAATTATTTAATAAAGTCACACATTATGGTGAATAAGAAGACTTATGACTTAACCTTGCTTGCATTACTGTAAAAAACCTCCTAAAATTTCATATTGCAGACCGTGCCCCTCTATGTCTAATAAGCTAATATCAAAACATATTTGCTCATCCATTTAGTAGAAAAATGCTAAAACTGAGAATCACAGTTTTTGTAAATCAGATATCTGCATATGTCAGACTGAAGTGCGATTTGAGCTCTGAGAGAGAGCCCAAGTCATAAAGGCCAAAAAAATTACCTAAGTATCATTAAATCTAAATGAATAAATCTAAAAAAGTAAGTGACAATCATACATTGTGTTTTTAAGACCATACACTTTGATGTGTTTGTTTCTCCCTGAATATGTTAAAAAGATTTACATTTTTAACATATGCTGCTATATTTTTAACTATTACATGGCCATGCTACAGTATTGCTTGGCCTGTTCAATGTGTGGGCAAAATTATACACTTAATCACATGGTCACTTAGATGATGTTCAGCTGATAAAAATGGGTCCTTTTAGCCCATTACTAGGTGGTTACTTGGCAAACTGTTTATTAAATATTACAGCAAATTCAACTTTTTAAACTGTAAATGAGATGCTATTGTTGAAAAATATACTTTTTTTTTAAAGCATTACAAGTGCACAAATCCTAAACACACAGCAACATGATGATTACATAATATTTGGTACAGATAAGAACTTTTAGAGCAGTAAAATAAAAAATGTCTGTGTGCAAAGATCGATTGCTCAACTCCTGATGGTGCAGGAGGACAAAGAACCAAACTAAAGGTGTTTTTTTCCTTTGGTTCTGATTAAATCATCTTGGGAGGGCTGTGAAATATTTAAACATGGTTATAGCGTTTTATGGTTTAAATATTTAGCTCAGATAAACTACTGATTTGGCCTGTTATGATGTGTTGTTGCTATGACAGATAATTACCATCAGAGATATCTGCAGCTTAAAACACTGCGTTTACTGGTGTACAAAATCACCATAATTTATCTGCATGCTGACATGTCACACGCACCCATAGCTGCCTCCTTGGTGAGCTGCCCATGATATTTGGAGCATTCATCGAGCATGGCCTGCAGCTCCGCCACACTGTGTTTGCCAGGCTGTTGAACGAAAGCATGTGAGCACTTTTTGGTTTGTACAGTCGCTGGTCGGATGGTCTCTGTGCGGCCATGCTTGAAAGCTGCAGTGCTACATGACTCGTACGTGGCTACAGTCTGTCCGTACTGCCTCAGAAAGCCCATTTGGAAAGCCAGCTGGGCTATAGCATCTGGACTCAGCCTGTTCTTCTTTAACTGTTCCTTCCCGCCTCTTTTGAACTCCATGGCGTCAATAGTGAGTTTTGATACGGCAGAGTCAATATTCTCCTTTGCCTTTTGGATGCCATTCTCCAGCTCTTTGTTCAGCTTGAATTGCAATCTGCGCACAGCAGAGGCCGAATCCACAGCAGCAGCAGCCGAACCTGGGTGCACTAGTGGCTTCTCGGTGGTGTCCTTAAAGACCTCGTTCTGGAAGCGAAGCACAGCGACGCCGTCACCCCAGGAATGTTCAAAGTTAATAGCTGCCTGTCCGTCTTTGGTTACAATGAGGCTGAAGGACTTGTCGTACCAGCGGTTACAGCCGTTGCCGTGCAGCATGTTGTGGGAGATGTGAATATGGTCCCGCATGCTCTCGTCATCCAGGGAGAGACAGAAAAGGGCGCTGTCCACGACCCGTAAATCCTCTGCGTTTCCAGCACCAATCAGCTTGTCCCTGAGCCCTGCCCACACGTCCCTGTTCTCACTGGTCAGAACACTCAAAGGGAAGGCTGGTGCCGGTGTCGAGTCAGACAAAATGTACTTCAAGTGGGACTGGATCTCTGCAGGTTTCACTAAATTCCCATCCCTGTCTATTATGTCAAACACGTACATGTTTCCTTTCCTCATAACCAAAAGGTGTCGCCCTTTCTCATCAGTAAAGAGCTCATCTCGCCCATGCTTAGGAATCCGAGTTGAGTTAAAGAGGCGGAAGTACTGAGACATGTCCAAAGGGTATGCATTCACCATGTAGGCCCCATACCAGGACAGTGAAGATGGGACCCAGCGGATAAAGTTCTTGAAACTGTCCGTGTCGCTTTTGACTGGGTTCAGATGGAAAACCTCTGGCTCCAGCAGACCGGCTCGTAGCGTTTTCATGAAGCGCACAGCTGAACACACCATGTTGGTCGCCCGCAACAGCTGGTCATTGTACTCAGTCTTTGGGTCGGGATTGAAGGACATGAAAGGGTTGAAGTTGAGCACCACAGAGTCACGTGCAGACAGATACATATCAAACCAGGGAGCTGTGACACAAAAGAACATTTTTAACCTAATTTAACAGTGATTACTCCATCTTTGATGCTCAGTTTTAGGCTAGTCATAGTTACCTGAGATGTAGCTTGTGTGCTTATTGTTTTTATCCTGAGCAACCAGTTCCTCATGCAACTGCTTTCCCGCACCATTCTGGAAATCCTGAGCAAGTTTCTCTGTTGTTCTGCAGATACATGACAACAATGGCTCCAACTAGGTTTAAAGCATTTAAATAATCAAATAAAAAGTTTGATTTAACTTGTGGAAACTCACCTGAACTGGTCATCATCCAAAAGAGGCTTCTGGGCAGCCAAATATCTCCTGATAGTATCCTCCAGTTTTGGTATGGGCAATCTAAACAGCAAAAGGGAAATGAAGTCAGTCATGTTTTATTCGATTCATTTGTATGTTTTATAATAAAAACAACTTAACGGAAGAGAGCACCCACTGTGATGTGGTGACCCATGTTCAAGAACCAAATGTTCAACAGCTTTCTTAAACTAGGGACATTTTCTTCTTTTTATTTCATTTAAAATGTCTGATGGGTCTCGATTTCTATTGTAACATTTGGACGGCAGGATCAGAATTAGACATAAACAAAACAAAAGCATGATCTATCCTGCCTTGTATGAATGGTTCAGGCTATGGTGATCATGTAATGCTGTGGACAATGTTTATTTGGCACACTTTGGGCATCTCGTACCAACTGAGCATTGATTAAACACCAGAGCGTACCCGAGTATTACTGCTGACCATGGCCATCTCTTTCTGGGCACAGTGTACCCAT